ATCAACAGATGTCTGAGTGCCCTTGGACGTCTTTCAGACCTCTGAGAATGGATTCCACAATATTCACAGGCCTGTTCTTCTGCTTCCTTGTGTGAAAAATTAGAATAAAAAACCTTCATATCCAATTAAGTGGATTTCTTCACATCATCCCCCCAGAGCAGACCAGAACATGCAGAATAATTGATCCCTGCCCTTTTTATTTAAAATATTTCTATATTAAAATACCTTTATCAAGTTTCACCCTTGCTTTTCCAGACTAAACAGATCTAGTTCCTCAATGCTCTGGGCTCTGGGAATAACTGGGGACATCTGCTTCCCACCTCACCCCAGTTCCACAAATGGGAACCCCAGCTGCTGGGCTGCCAGAAAAATGCTTCTGTTCCTTGAAAGCACACCACGTCTTGACCGAGGTCATGCACAGTAAATGTTTGGAAAAGTTTTTTTTTTTTTATGTCACAAGAAAAGGTAGAACAAACAACACATCTGTTGAAAAAGTAAAAGAGAAGGTCTTTTGAATGCTTCCCTTGGTACTGCCAGCACTTCAGCTTGTTTGATGAAGAATTGGATTTGCTGATGGATCAGCGGAAGGTCGGATGTCCCCCACACAGTCGCAGGGGAAGCACTGGGAGATGTTGTGAGTTGCTTGGCAAACACATAGAGATGACTTTAGGAGGTTTTTTTGATGGCTGTCCTGTTCAGTGAACTCAGCAAAGACTGGGTCTTGGAGGTCTGAGTGAAATTGCCTGTAGCAAAACTTACAGAGCTGTCAGAAAAGGAGAGGCCACGTTTTAAAGGGTAGCAATGCAACATGACATTCAAAACAACAGATGATGGGGAGCCACAGAGCCTGGAAGCTTTCATCTGATCTGAATCAGACTTTGCTACTCTTCAGTACTTCAGTGGTGTGCCAGGCCATGGGCAGCACCAGGCACTGCTGCTGGACAGGGCTCTGCTGGCATCCAGACTTTTTGTGGACACAAACACAACTAACCCTGAGCATATCAGCTGTTCTCGTGCCATTTATGGAAAGGGAAAAGCATCTGAGAGGAACTCTTCTATAAAGACAGAAAAGAAAATAATTTCAAAGTGGAGACTTTTCTCAGGGTGGGCTAATGGCACTCAGAAGTAACTGAATATCCATTTATTGTGTCTCAAATAGCCACTAACACAATTCCTAGTCACATTCTTTTCTTAAAAATTAAATGGGAGAGTATCATAAAACTGAGTTATTGCTATGCCAGCAAAATATTTGTAGAGAGGTTTTCAGTTTCTGGCCATAAAAGAGAAGGTACAGGAGGCAGGAGATTTTGGTTAAAACCTGGTAAAAGTATTGTGGACTTTTGGACTATTATTAAAATGTCTGATAAATAAGGATAGTGTGATGAGACAAATTTTTGTTGTAGGATCAACTTCATCACGCCTTGTGCTGCCATGAATCTGGTTTCAATTCCATCAGCTTTACCCTAGTGTTAATCAGTTGGTTTGACTGGCATAATTTCTGATTACATTCTTTTAAGTGAGATCAAGAATCTCTTTCTTTGCCTTCAGGAAACAGAGTAGCCATTAGGGGAAATATGGAACTATACTTGTAACTCCCCAGTGTTTTGTTTCGAATGCAAGAAAGTGTAACTGGTTTCTGCAGGTGTTTCTGAAGAGTTAGCAGAATATTCTTTGTCACAACCTCAGATGTAATGGTCTTAATCACAGAGCATGGCTCTCCTAGCTGCCACAGGACATTTAATATGTTGGAAAAGGTGTCTCTGTTCCCTTGTAAAAACCAAATTTGCTTTTACAGCCATTGCCCATAATGCAGCAGGAGAATGGTGTTAATAACAATTTCATTGTGGCTGCAGAAACCTTCTGCACCTCTCCAGGGAAGAAGCAACTTTTTCATCTGTAAATGGCCAAAGAATTACCTTTGGAAGCTTTCACTCTTGGGATCCAAAGGCTTGCACACAAAACCTGTGCTACATAATGGTTCTCCAGGGGGAAAAAAGTAGGTTGGTGGGTTGGGTTTTGGGTTGTAATTGTTTCTGGCTTTGTTTGAACTTCTGAAGGCTGTGGGTATGCACAGTATTCACACAGGGAAAGTGGCAGCCATGGCTGTTCAATGGGAGCAGTGGGAACTGGGAAGTCTCGAGGAGATTCTCAGGAAGGATCACACAAAGGCTCCCTGGAGCCTTTGGAAAGAGTTGGGTATGTTCTTCCCAGGCATGTGGTGCCCTGCACTCTGTGAAGGGCTGTAGAACAGCACAAAGTGTTTTGCAGTGTCTACAGAAGCTTTAGAAATTATCAGCCTTTGTGACAAAAAAAACCAAACCTTTCTTCCTTGTTATGGCAAATGGAGTAATCTGGGGAAGTGTTTGCACTGCACTCCAAGGCTTTAATCCATGCACAGGATTTCAGTGAGTTCATGTCTTTGCCTACCTTGATATTGTTACCTTGCTCAAGTTTGTGCAGAGGAAGTAAAGACTCAGAGGTCAGCAATGAGTGGTTTTGAAAAACCAAGTGGTGACTGTATCTCCCACAAACTTGGAGAGAGGAATCAGTTTGTGTAATTTTTAAATACTTCCCACATTGTCTTACTTACTATTTCTTTTGCTCATTCTCCCCCCCTTTCACTACAAGAATTTAATTTCCTCTCTATGAATAAGAGTTAGCTGATGCTTATAATTTATTTCTTAAAATGTACTTAGATCTCAGACAAAGTTTGATGGAATTAGTACTCTCATAATGTGTCATGGGCATGATCTTCAACACTAACCTCAAGGCAGTTTACCTTCCACTGGGAAATGAATTCCCAAAGGGAGATGAAGTTGCCTGGCATGAGTAAGAACCAGGTCACTCGGTCTAAATGACTAATTATGCAGTTTAGTACTTAGCTTTTGGATTCCAGTTTTGACCTCTAAATGCAGAACAAGTTCCAGATGTAGCCAGCAGTAACTTCAGTTTGAGGCCCCAGCACTTTTACTGAAGTGCTGCTCCATTCACATCAAAAGACACTCCTGGTCCACAGCAGCACCAAAACTGTGGAGTTCAGGAGTGTTTTCTGTTCCCTGTAAATCAAAGAGATTATAATCTTGAACCAGGGCTTGGACCACTGGATTCACACAGCCACCTAGCAACTTTGGGCTTGTGTGTGAAAATGTGTATCCACTGAGTGCATAAATTTTAAATTAAAGGTATTCATTCATGTGCTTTCTAGCCAAATTTAACTGATAATCATTAGGCTTTTGTTCACATCTGAATGTTGCTTTAAAAGCCTTTGGTTCAGTCTGGTTTCCTGTCTTTTCCCCCAGTAGTTTCAGTGCTGTAGGGCTGGAAAACAGGAGGATTTTTTGTAGTTCTTTCATTGCTTCCCTCTTGCCTCTACTTACTCTTGAACCAAAACTGGAACTTAGATTTTGTTGTGGGCATGTATAGTTACCTCAGTGGTCAATCTGAGAAAATCTGGCTTTGTCTCAGTCTCTGCCTTTTAGATGTTAGCAGGAGGGGCTGATCTTCCTCTCAAGAAACTGTGAGACTTCTTAATTATTAGTAATCTACTGTGTCTGTGATTAAAAGTGGGTGTTCCCTAGGTATCTTTTGCTGAGGAGATGGAGGACTATATTGAGGAAATGAGAAAACATTTCAGGAAGGTCAGAGGTGTCCCCAGCACGTTCTGCAGATTGTCTGTCAAGGCTGAGCATTGCACAGCATGCACAGTTCTGTAAACCATGTTCCCATTTAAAAACATTCAAGTGGAACAAACTTACTTTTTCATGTCACAAACCAGGATCATATTCACATTTCAGCAGTGGGAAGGAGAAGATAAAAGACTTAATTCAGCTTTCAACATGCTGGAGATTTTCTGTGGCTCCACCTCTGCCCCTTCCTCTGTCCTCATTCCCAGTGTTTTTGAACTCTGCCTGCAATGCATTTCAGTGCTTGCCAAGATATCTCTGACTAGGGGTGAGTTAATGAGAACATCTGGCCAGGAATGAGGGATGATGCTCTGTGCCCCACCCACTCAGCACATCTGGTGGTTGTGGGCATGGATGGGGGACCTTACTGAGCATTAAGGCTTCTGCAAAGAAAGAGGATTTTATCATCTATGGATGAGTTTATTGAAAATACCCAAATCCAATTGGTTATATAAAGGGACTGTCATGTACGTGGGAGAAATGCCTATAAATAGGTGCACACACACACACAAATATACACTTTGTATTATAATTACAGTATACAGTTAATGTGTAAGGATGTGAACTGCCTAAAAAACTGTCTTTTTAGATAATTAGTCCCAAAAGTCCTAAACTGCTTAACCATCAAGGAATATTGCAAGACACCTCTCTGTGGTAAGGTTTTGCAGAGTTGAATATACATTCTCTCCGAAGGGAGGAGAGGATGAAAAGAGTTTGTGTGGTTGGTTGGCAAAGTTCCTTTTTGAAATTATTATTTTAAAGCTGCTGATTTATTTTTGTCTAAGGATGAACTAAGGTGTCCAGATTCTTTTGTGAACATCTTTTTTATATATAGATAGGTGTAGATCTATATCAATAAGTACCAATGCTCTGCTCTTGTTTTGCATTGCTGGTTAAAAAAAAAAATATGGATTTTTCAGGCAGCACAATGAATCACCCATGAAGTGAAAACACTGGGCAAATTCTCTTTTGTTTAATAGAATGGGCTGTACACAGTTCAGGCCAGCACATTTTTCATGGGATGCAAGGGAGCAGTTCAAAGAATTGGCAAGGAGTGGGTCCTGCATATTCATGAGGCTGGGCAAGGAGGTGAAAGTACAGGAGAAGGCAGAAAAGCAATGTGAGGATAGAGTGGAATGTGGAGCGAGTTGCCACGGTATCCTATTTTACTGTCTTTGACGTAAAGCTCCTTTGCTTTTACACAACCGCTGGAATTGAATGGAAGCAGCTCAGGGGCATCAATAATGAATGTGCCTCTCACACGTTGAGAGAGCAGAATCTCATTGGAGTTAATGTGCCCCTCTCTTCTCTCCCCAGTCTCCAGCCTACGTTCCCGAAGTCAGTCCAGAACTTATCCAGCAGACAGAGGAGAAACTCGAGAACAGCCCCTGCAAGGAGCTGTTCTCTCCCTGCACAAAGTAAGTATAACACGACACGCAAAGGGCTGCAGCCAGCAGCTTCTGAGGAATGAGGCAGGTAGAGACATTTCAGCCTGAGGCAGGTACCTTTGTCAGTCCTAGAGGCAGAGCTGACAAGCGGTGAAGTCATTTCATCTGAACAAAATATAATAAATATTTCCATGCCATTATATACGCTACACACAGGCACTTACTGTTTCAGGTATTTGACAGAGTGTTCCAGCCAAGCAAACCAGCCGTGGATTTCATGCTGTGTGAAAAGAGCTACAATGATAATGTATCCAAAGAAAACATCTCTGTTTCAAAGTGAATAAAAATTAAGTGGCTATACAGTCCATTTAGACAGAGGAATGTGCAAACTTGCTCCGCATGGCTTTTCCAGAAAATCTTCACCGGGAGAACGGGGCTTTTTTAATGCTTTCTGTCTGTCTGTGGCGCTAAAGCAAACGTGCATTATTTCCCCCTTTGTCTGGGAAAAGGCTTATCAGTTTCTGCAGCGATTTGTGCCATTATGTGCTAAAGCTCCAGGTATGCAATCTGCATTTGCAAACCCTGCCCCGAGCGCGTCCACACCAGTAGATCATAAACCAATAAAAATATGAAAAGGAGGGATCATGGCACGCGGGCCCATGTGGTTTCTGGCGGAGCACGGTTTGTTTTCCCTGGGTGATGTAATGGGGATTTGTAAAATTTGCTCCGCTGTCATTCATTGTTTTGACTCATTTCATTGACCTTTTCTGGTTCCAGTTATTCTTTGCGTTGGTAGGAGCTGTGGGTTATTTCTGGCCTTCTCTTCTAGCACAGGCAGTTTCCTTGCAGTGGCCTGGTGTCCTGTAGAGATGCTCTGTAACTCGCACCAGTTGTGGGTGCCAGTCCCAGCAACAAAGGCAGAGCTGTGCTCCACACAAACCCCCCTGGTGCCTGTTTCCAGTTCTCAAATCGGTTTGAAAGCTGACAGTTCCCTCTAAAATGCACTTTGTTGTTGCCAAAGAGGGGAACTAAAAAGCAAACAACTGCTGAAAGGCAGCTATTGTTCTTTTAAAATACATGCAGTTTTTAATTAACTGAATGGAAAGGCCGAGCATTGGACACCACTTAATGCAGGCTCCTTCCTTCATCCCTGCTAAAACTCAGGAACGAGCCAGGTTTGGGACCTTGTTAATAAATATGCTGATCATTTCACACAGACTGAAATGAGGTCAAAAGGAAGTTTTAAAAAATTGCTGTTGGTGTTTACTGTTGCTGAATGATGTTCATTTTGAAGGGGCTCACAGTCAGACCAGAAAAGGGAGGCATACATACAAATATGAAGCCTGCTGTCCTGGAGGAGCAGGGATGGGATGAGTTCCATTCACATCTTCACAGATAAAAAAATCAGTCTGCAGGAAAAGTGCATGTATGTAACTTCTGCTATTACCTTTAATATTTTGACTGTCTACTCCTGCCCTCCTCCAATATCACCTAGAAATCTGATGTTGAATTTGGACATTTATTAAAGCAAATTAAGACTTACTTTTATTTCATTTTGTAATATTTAATCCATTAAGAGAATCTGTTATGATCTGTGTCCAGTCAAAGCTAATGAAGACAGCAACAATTTGACTTGTGCACACTGAACATGTGCAATTACCTGCCTTCTCCAAATTGATGGTGCAAGCACTTAAAAAAAAAATATTGTAACAGCTGAGAAATTCCAAAAATACTAGCTCATGAATGGGGAGGAACTGAACTGAGGAGACACATTACTCATGGTGACTTGCTTGCTCAGAGAACTGCCCCAGGGTAAGATATAGACTATCATCCCCAGACTAGAACAGTCATTCAGAGAGGATTTCCTCCTTCCAGCAAGATTTAGAAATGTGTCTGTATGCCCTTAGACACAGACACAAGTGTGTCTGTATACACCCAGACAGAAATGCTCATTTCTTGGGGCACTTTTCACCCTAACCCAACTTCTGTCCTGCCAATGCTGCCAGCAGAGGTGGATGCCGGAGCCCCAGTAAGCAGAGCAAGAACCAGCACCAGCAGTTGTTAAAACAGCATGACCACCTTCATTTTAGACAACTCCCAGCTCAGACCATGTTTTCTTAATTCCAAACATTTGGCCTTTCTGATGGGATGGATGCCTGATGCCCTCTGACTGTTTTCTGCCTGTCATAAGCAACAGAATTTATTCTCATATTTGCAGACTGATCTTTGTATTCCTTTATTCCTTCCATTATGCAAAAGGCTCCATCCACTGCATGAGCCCCAAAATTATTTTCTTGATCCAGAAGCAAATCCACATCCCTATTCAGACTTTTCTTTCTCTGTTTTACTCTAAAAAGCACATAGCTCTTAGGAAATCCCCTTTGACTTTGGCACATGTACTAATTCTTCTATATAGCAGGAATTGAAACTGAACTTTTTGCTCAAAATGATGCCTCAGATGGTCTCTCTTTGATAGAAATGGGCTTCAGCCAGAAATTTTCTGTCCAGATGTAAACATGCCTCAAAGTTTAGGAGCTCAGTAGCTGAGGATGTTGTTTCAGTTTACTAACAGAAGCAAAGACATTCACTGTGTGGTGGCTAACAACCTCTGTAAGAGTCCATTAAAGACAGTGGGAGTTGCCCTGATAATTTTCAGCAAGCAGCACCAGTATTCAGCACGATAAGGCCTCCTGTTATGAAATACATCAAGCACATCACTTTGTTTCTATACTGAAACAGTCAGCAAAATAAAGTACAAAATAAAGTGCAAAATAAAGTAGAAATAACATAATCCTACTGTAAAAGAAGTCTGGACTTTTCTCCTCTTGTTTTATTTATCTTTTTGGTCAAAGTTTAGGATTATAAAATGCTTATATATCCTTTTCATCTGAGATAGATCTGTCCTTGACCACCTCAGTGGGGAGCCATTCCAAGAGTACCTAAACAGCATGTACTTCGACAGGTTTCTCCAGTGGAAGTGGTTGGAAAGGTAAGTGTCACAATTTATTTTTTTTAATAAAAATAAATAAAAAGGTTTATTTTTACTTTCCATGCAAAGTCTGTTGAATATGCTGAAAATCGGACAGTTGAGATAATGTTTGCTTCTACAGCTCAAGTGTTCAACCATTTAGTGGGCTTAGGTACATTAAACATATTAGGTATGATTAATGTACATCCAGCAACTTCAGCTGTCTTTCTGTTTAGCTACCCTCTGAATGTGGTGACTTTTTGTCTGGACCAGTTGTCACTGTTATTAAATAACGCTAAAGAGAGGAAAAATGTGGCATATAGGTCCTCTCCCTGTATTTATTGGCTGGACATTCCTGAGCACATTTAATAACCAGGCACTCTTAGTGGGTATTAATTTGCAAGGAAAGGGCTTGTGCCTCTCCCTTGTCAGGGAGTGCTGCAGCAGACGGTCACTGCTGGGTGACAGTGACCTTGGGCTGAGAGAAGCCCCATTTTCCACAAATGGCATTAATTACGGCGGATGAGCTGGGCCGGATCCGTCAGTGCTGTGTGGCAGCAGGACGCCTCCAGATCAAAGGAGCTGTGCCAGTTCCTCTCCCTGGAAAGCTGCAAAGCTGCTGCTCAGGAGGGGTGGGCAGAGGGAAGAGCCATTTCATGCCAAGGCATGCTCCACATGCCATCTTTCTGAGCCCAGCATTTACTCTTCCATTTCAATTAAAAAAACATTGGGTGATTCATCTCTAGCCAGGCTATTTCCTATCTGTTTTCACATTAGGGATAAGGAATTTTCTGCAATGCTTTGAGGATTTTTTTTTTTTTCCATTCCCCCAACAAGTGTGACAAGCTATTGGATATGCCTGGCTTTAGAAGCTGGGAGAATTGTTTTTAGGATTAGCAAAGAGATGTTAGTAGCATGGAGTGTTCAACAGCTCCTTCTGACAGCCTGCTGGCTCCAAAGGAGCAGTCACAGAGTCCATTTATTCCAGGGACATTGCTGAACACGTAGTTATCACTACTAATTGTTGCTTTTAACCCCAAAACCATTTCCAGCAGCATCACGGAATACTGAAAATAACATCTTTTCCTCTTCCAGTTTTTTACTGTCTGCATACTATTCTTCCCCTACTTTGGAAAACATTAATGGGCGTTAATGAAAGGATTCACTTCAGCATTTATTGTTCCTTGTCGTCAACCTCATCATCCCTGTGGTGGGAGCAGCCACGTTCCTGTGCTCCCTCTGCCGGCTGGCTGCCTGCCAGAGGGGAGCAAGGAGGGCAGGAATGTTCATATCCACTGCTGGCATCCTTGTAAAACGTGCTGCTGGATACAAAATGGGATCTCGCTGAACCTGGAATCCTTCTTCTGCCGGGTCATAATACTTCTACAGTAGCAAAGTAAAAGCTGGATGTAAAGTTGGAGCCATTCTGGTGGAGCAGATTTTGTGGGAAGTTGTACAGGGATTGTGTCAAGTGATAGGGAGCACTCTGCCCTCGGAGACAGACTTATTTAACCTTAATTTAGCTCTTGCCCCTTTCTTGCCTGTGATGCTCCCCCAGGAAGCAGGGACAGGCTTGCACCTTGTCCTCCTGCTCTCCCAGCATGCAAGTGTCACATAAATCCACCTCTCCTACTCCCAGGATTGCTTCTGCCTTTCATTCATATGTTTTGTTTAACACAAGAGAAGTATGTTCTGGTGGTTTGAATTTTGGATCTCTTTTTCTCATCTTGCTGGCCAAGCAAAGCAACGTGTTAGCCCCTCTATATGTCGTAGGAATTAATGGGAATCCTACTGAAAGATCTCAGGCTTCTTTGCTTAACAAAGGCCAAAGCTGTATAATGGAGATTCAGAACCCTCCTTGGTCCTAAGATGCTAGCAGAAATTATACTGATGACTCACTAATGTGTTGTATTTTATTACAGCTTAATATGTTGGAATTGAAAAGTTCAAGCCATACATAGTATTGAAGTAATGCAATTACATAATTATATATTATATTATATTATACGATTACCTTGAAATAATGGGATTATATAATATTTATCTATTTTGCTTTTCAAAAGTATGCTCTGAAATAAATAAATCACAGAGAGTGCATTAAACACAGTGTGGTGGGGGGTTTATTTATTTATTTCCTTTTCTTCCAGGCAACCAGTAACAAAAAACACGTTTAGGCAGTACAGGGTACTGGGGAAAGGCGGCTTTGGGGAGGTGAGTAATTCTGAAATTTTCTGTTAAGTGTGTTTCTTACTTTTTGAAAACTGCAGGTATAGGAGCCTGATGTGACATTAATTGCTGACAATTCTACTTAACCCCTCGTGACTCTGTAATCTCAAAAGGACACTTTCGAGAGTTATTTTGTGTTCAGCTGTTGCATTCACAGTGGGATTGGGGTCACAATTTATTTGTATTTTCCTGGTGTCTGGAGATGGCAGCAGAGGCAGGGGAGGCACAGATTGAGAGATTAAAATCTGCACAGACAAAAGGAGGTGGGAGAGGAAGCAGGCAGAAGAAAGTGAACTAATTAAAGCAATATTCAGGTTTGGCATTACGCGGCAATCGTTCTGCTCCGTTCGCAGGTCTGCGCCTGCCAAGTGCGAGCCACGGGCAAGATGTACGCCTGCAAGAGATTAGAGAAGAAGAGGATCAAGAAGAGGAAAGGCGAATCCATGGCGCTCAATGAGAAGCAGATTTTAGAAAAAGTCAATAGTCAGTTTGTAGTGAGTATTGATGGAGCTCCGTGGTTCCCTGCTCACCTGCGCTGGTGGAATCCAGTGCTTCCTCCATCTCCTGCTCCTGGGAAGGTGCCAGAAGCTGAATCCCTTTGCTTTGCACCTTAGCCCTGCTCCCTGTACCTTTGCTGAGTCTCATTTTAGGCTCTGGTCCATCAGAAGTGCAGCAGTCAAGGGGCCTGTGCCTGCCATGGGATCGTGATGTGTTTTACAGCCTTGGCTTGCATCACAGCTGCATTGGGATGAGCTGTTCTTATCCAGCGTGATTACCTGAATTCCCAGGGTCTGGGGGAGAGACTGAAGGAGATTCAACCCAAACAGATCAGATGAGACTGCTTGCAGAAGCATCTAAGCAGTGAGGTGGAGCTGGTTGGCCTGATGCAGGGCTCTCCTGAGTCACACCAGCTCTTGTGCCTCCTTTAAAACTTCCCTTAGATTTAGAAAAAGTAAAAAAAGGTATTGTCTCAGCATCTGTCATGTTCTTTATACTTATTTCTGGAAACACTGTGTATACAACAGATGCAAGGTGTTCGCTTACATGTTTGCTTGCCTCTGCCAGAGGATGGCACATATTTAAAAGTGATGGGTGGATTTTGGCTGGTCTGATTTTTCCTTGGGCACCCACCAGAGCCTCCAGGGATGATGCTGACCTTCACATCTCCGTGATGGTTCATTTGATCACCCCAGGACTGGGAGATCTGGGTCTTCCAGGGAACTCACTGAGATGCAAAACGGTGAAGCAGGAGGTGTAGATTCCCTTGATGACTAAGATTTCTCATACATGGGAAAATATGCCTGGAATTAGTATGTTTGTTCAGCCTCTGAACCCATCTGAGCCTTGAGGGTTTTTAAATAGGTTGGATTCCACAAATAAATAGGCTGGATTCCACAAATTAATCTGTAGAATCCTAACATCTGACTTTTCTTTTAAAATATATGTTTGACACTGTAAGAAAGCCCATACCAAATTCAGTCAATGTATTTTTTTTTTTTTTTATTTTCTGGAGAAAACCTTTAATGAAAAGCTAGCACTTCCTTCTTAGCAGCCATCTGAACTGTCACAACTGTCCTGAAAATGTTTTTCTAGGTCAATTTAGCCTATGCCTATGAAACAAAGGATGCACTGTGTTTAGTTCTGACCATAATGAACGGAGGTGACCTGAAGTTTCATATCTACAACATGGGAAACCCAGGCTTCGAGGAGGAAAGAGCTTTGTTTTATGCAGCAGAGATTCTTTGTGGCTTGGAAGACCTTCACAGAGAAAATACTGTGTACAGGTAAGCGCTCTCTAGAGTCCTAGGATGTCTTTTCTGGGTAGGAAAGAATTGTCTGCTTCCTCCCTTCTTACTGTGGTGCTGCACAGCTGAGATGCCTGAGTGCTTTGGCTGAAATTTTGCAGAGCCCTGTATAAATACAGCATGATACAGTAATCATGGAAGGAAGCAGTTGCTTCCCTAAATACATCCTGTGTAAATTATCCAGAACCAGCACAAAGCTCCCCAAACCTTACCTCAGTGTGCACTGGGCAACATAAAAAAAATGATGGAAGTCCCTTCAAAGGGATTTCATTATAGAATTGAGTTCCTAGTTGGGATGAAATGGAGAGCATTCCATCCAAGACTCTATTTTAATTAGTTAGGTTATTTTGCACGAAGGGCTGCAGCATGTGAAAAAACTTCTATTGCAGAGGGTATGCAACCCCAAGAGGGAGTCTGAGACACAGGGCATGGATTTCCACTGGTGAATGTGATTAGCTGGATGGGATCAGGATGATCCTGGTGTGCCAGCCGTGGAAGGGGGCCCGTTCCCAGCCACACAGCAGAGCATCCTGCTGGCAGCATCCCACCATCCGTGGGTGCAGCCAGCGGGCACAGCGCTGCCCGGCGCCGCCGCTGCCGCTTCCAGGAGGGCAGATCCCGAGTTCTCAGCTTCCAGTTTGGCTTGCAGCTCTACACAAGCACTTTTCCAGGGCAGGCTGGATAAGCAAGCAGATTGCAGACAGAGTTCTTGTGACTCCACAAGGATTTATTTTTTTTAATCAACAGCCACTGTAGTTGTAAACAACGGTTCTTGTTTGTCTTCATCATCCCCGCTTGTGAAATCATCATTGCTGGCATTCACAGCAGAAGAGGGCCTGTAAATTGATGAAAGAACTTCCAAGGACAATGATTAATAGACAATAAGATGCTATTTTTAAAAGCCAAGCCACACTTTAAATCATTTTATGTGCCTGGGTATAATACATATGCTGCATGCGCTTGTATGCATAGAAATTGCAATATTGTTGTTCCTTGGAGGTATCTAACAAACTGACACTTGGTTGCCTTGCATCTCGCTAGCTGGCACACAGAGGGCAGACAGATAACATGCTGATTTAGTTGACACTCACCCAAGAAGGAAGTTCTTTCTTTCCCCAAGGAATAAAATGGTACTAGAGTGTCTAACGTCAATTGAAAAATCAAATTGTAAGTGAAGTGTCTGTCTTCCTTTTCCCTTAGAAAACCTCCTACCACATTTTCAAATGTTTTAGGAGGTAGTGTAGTGTTTCACAATCATAATTTATTGAAAAAAATGACTGCTGCATTCCTAACATGGCTGGTAAAATGCCATACTAATGCCATTTTCTAATAGAACAAATCAGATCTGGCCACCTAAAACAGTGCGTGGCTCTGAGAGAAATGGCACTTACTTCCTTAAGCAGGAGTTTTCATGCTACTCTTAAAAGAGCTGCTACTTTACACCTCAGATGGCACATTCATTTTGGTGATGAATGATACTACATCCTTGTAGGTGACATTTTCTTGCAGTATGTCAGGAGCATCTGCAGAGACCCCTCATTTGTAATAGCACAGCGTGTTGTGGGACCCGTGAGAAGTGCTATATAGGTCAATAAAATATTGCAGCTAAATGCTACTGCCTTCTCAAGGCGAATAATTCATCACAAAACACTTATTCTTCAGACTTAATTTCATTTTCCCTAAACAAAATGCTCCTGAGTAAATCACAGTGTTGGAAAATGCATCCCCATCTCCTGGGCTGCTGCTGACGCACGCTGCAGACATGACCCGGGAGAACAACCAGGCTCAGAGTCAGATTTATCTCATTCAGAATTCCCTTGTCAAACATGGCACTTGTGCTACATTTCTCAACTGCATCATGTTAGTAAAGGTCAACGGGTTGGTTGTTCGTGGAAAGCAAATGCAAAAAGCTTCTGGTTCTCCTCAAATTCTTTATATATATATATAATTCTTGTCTATTTCATAGTTTATATTATGTATTTAAATTATTATTTTATATGTTTATATATATATATATATAATATAATATAACATTTTTTGTTTTATATATATATTTTTTAAATGTATGTGGTTTTTTTAAAATTTATACTATAGCCATGCCTGGAAGCTCCAGTGAGCATCAAATTCACATTGTCCCAGGCATTGCACAAATACATGGTGTAAAGCCTTGTCCAGAGTGATTAATTGAGTTGTTTAGGCTGTTCTGTACAGCCAAACAATTGCTTTTTGAGCTTGGGCACAGTGCCAGCAGTTTATGTTGCAGTATGTTTGGGCAAGGCTACTTTGCAAATGGGAAGCTGAGCCTTTGGGAAGTAGCTTTATGGTGTGTCCACCACGGAGTTTTATTCCCTCTGGACATTTCAGTCATAAACCCTTAGAAGTGCTGGCCATGCAAAGGAAGCCAGCCTTGATCTTGAGGAACCAGAATTCTGAAAACAGGAATGACAGCTGATGTCTGGGAAGGGAGGAAAGCTTCTTCTAATTGCCCTGACCCTAAGAGCTGAACTGGTGTTCTCAGAGTCCTTGTGGAGTCTCCCATTTTCCCATTCAAACACAACATTTCCCAAGTTGCACATAAAATTCTTATCATTGGCCCCCAGTTACAGTTTTAAGTGGGACTAATATCTGCTGAGCAGAAGATGAAGTAACTGATGAAGGCTGAGTTCTTCAAGGGAATGATTCTTACAGGATTCAGAACCTATTTTCAAAAATAAATAGACAATGCCCTTGACCGTGCTGCCCCAGCATTGGAAACCTTCTGCTGATTGGCAGGGAAACCCACAGTGATATGTTAAACAAAATCACAGCTTCTCCTCAGTATTCAGCTGCACTTCACATATTTCAGCATTGTTTGTTTGAAAAGCAGGCTTGGTACCACTGGGCACTGGGTAAGGTTTATCTTGGAGGTCAGGAAGGTCTGAAGCAAGCAAGAAGAGATTACTCACAGCGCTCTGTGTTCTTGCTTGAAATCATAAATAAAAACAAGGCAAGTGTCAAAATTCCAACTTTGGCATCATCAAAACTACAAAGTACCCCTCTCCATACACAGGAAAATCCACGATGCTGGAGTGGTACAGCTTGGGAGGCAGGGTGGGCTCCTGCACAGGCTCTGCTCTGCCCTGTGCCCTGGGGCAAGGCTTTCTCTTGTACTTTTTGCTCTTTGCACAGAAATGCCTCTTGCTGGGAAGTCAACAGAACCAAGCTCACAGATGCAAGGAGGCCTTACAAAAAGAAGAGGCCAAGCAGTGCTTGGATTTGCACCAGGCTAAGCACTGTCTTTAGATAAAAGCCAGGGCATGATGTGTTGAATTGAAGCAGTGCTGTTTTCCCTGCCTCACCCAGCTCCTGAGCCAGCACAGCCCAGTCCTGGGGCACGTCTGGGACACCCCCTGCCCAGCATGTCCATCTCCCCCCTCTGACACCTCTGGTCCCATCTCCTGGGCTGGCTTCATTCCCACTCTGCATGAGCAGGATGGGAAGGAGCCTGCCTGGCTCCCACCTCAGCAGCAGCCCAAGAATGGCAGCAGCTGCAGAGTTGTGCTGGGCTTGGTAAGGTTTGGAAAACAGCCTTGGTCAAGGAGAGGACAATGTGGTTGGGCTGGGAAGCATTTCGAAGTAGCAGCTGCTGGAGGAGGTTTTGTGCAGACAAACATTTCAGAAGAATGATCTGCCAAGGCTCTGCTAAATATGTGAAAACTGAGATTATTTACTTCAGGAGTTTATACCTTGCCCAGATTTGGGGATTTTTTGTTTTCTTTTTTTCAGGAACAATAAAAGGCACATCTTTGACACCAGATTGACCACCTTGCCAATTTTCATGGCATTGCTCCAAACCACACAGGCACTAGAATTTCTCAAATGCTTGTAAGAATAATCTTAATCTGGGCACAGCATTCCCCTCTCTGCCCCACATTTTCCAAACTCAACGAAAGTATTGCACATATGTGCAAGTGCATGGACACACATTCACATATTTGGTCTGACTCAGATGTCAGACATAGAAAACTTGAGCCCAACAGATTCCTATTTCAATGTTCACATGTAAATAAAGTATTTTATTTAACATAAGATTTTTTTTAACATAAGATTTTATAACAGAAAACGTTAGAAAGATTTTACAACACAGAGGACTATAGGGGTTCATTTACAGGGCTTACAGGACTAGATGGATGAGTCCATTATAGGGTAGATTAGGAACTAAAAGCTTGGCTTAGTGAAAAATTGTAACTCCAGTTTAGAAAAAGACATATGGTTTCAGTCTATCTGTGAAGTGAGTTGTAAAAGGTTGTATTGGTTTCAGGAGTTCCTTGCTGTTTGAGTTGACACTCAATTGGTTTATTACAAGTAATAAATGCCCTCATGCAGTTGTATGGTTATGGTATCAAAACCAGCTTCATACCCACAACTGCTATCTTTCATTTCCAGAGATCTGAAGCCAGAAAATATCCTGCTGGATGATTATGGTAAGTCTCAGAGGTTTACAGAGATGCTTTCACAGTAAAGTAGATTAAGTTAGTTTCGGGATATATATTGCACAAAGACAAATAATGCTCTGAAGTGATTAAGAGGCTCAGCATACACTAATATTCCTGTCATGGGGTGGGTGAGCTGCTGGAGCTCGCTGCACAGATGGAAGGAAGCAGCCGTGCCCTCAGCAGGGGCTGTTCTCGAGAGCTCAGCATTGCTGGGGCTCTCTGCCTTTCCCTGTTGTTTTTCCATCCTTGTTGCAAGGCTGGTGCAAGATGGAGTTCTAATTTCTAAATCTGGGCTTCCCTCTCCATTTTTGAAAGTACTTTTATCCTCTGCTGAGCCAAGTCTGGGTTTATGCAAGCCCAGGTACCCACCCGTTCGTTGCTGGAGGCAGCGATAATCAAATCTCGTGCTGACCTGCAGACCAGATGTAGCTTCCTCAGCCATCACAGAGTTACAGAATTGTGTCAGCCCATCCACCCTCTGTGATCAGTTCAAGATACTTCCCCACAGCATGCTTCTCTCTGACTTTTTTCATTGGTTTTAAAATACCTAATACAGTCTGCTGCAGTCCACAGCCTTACCGTTAACATTTATTTTTGTGTTGTAGTGCCCTTAATAATTCCTCTTTTCCATATCAATGAAACTGCTCCAATTCAGTGATTCAGAAAGCTCTTTTCTTAAAATGTCCAAGCAGTATATTGCAAGAATAGTTCAGCAATGCTCACAGTTGTGGGTTTTAGACTAATTTGAATCAGGTTATTATATCTGCTTTATGTTGTTTTGTTTCTTTTTTCCTTCCAGGCCATATTAGAATATCTGATTTGGGTCTAGCTGTTAAAATCCCCGAGGGTGAATCAATCCGTGGAAGAGTAGGAACAGTAGGGTATATGGGTAAGTCTTCCACAGTTCATCTTTTTTAAAATTTGCTGAGATTACTTGAGTTTTAGAGATATTTCTGCCAAGAAAGCTTAAGAAAAAGAATAAAAAAATATTCACATTCAGCTGGGTCCAGTTTCATGCAGCAACTCCTACAGAAATCCTGACTGAAAATCAGAAGAGGGTGAAAGGCTGGACCTCTACAGCTCTCAGTGAGGCTGGTCTATAAACTTAAATCAGCAAAGCAAATTGAAAGGGAAGACAGCAACTGGGATTCTAGTGATTTTAGTGTAGATGAGGGTTATGTGCCAAAATAAAAGTTTCTTTCTAGTTGCTGTTTTGTATAGGAGTTACAATGTATTTGCATGGTTATGATAAAATGGGTAAGTCCACACCTATGGTCATCTTGACCAAGGTCAGCTTGAGCTTTCCTCTATGTGGAGGGAGGCTGCACAAAAGACAAGTAGAGATTTGTACATTGGTAAAAAACCCCAAAACTACACTCCCTTATTTAACTAGATCTGTTTTCTAAACTCAATGTAATTATTTTCATGCATTCTCTGGGTGGGCATATTTCTTGGAGTAAAAATTGCTTATGCTTATTTGACTGAATAGAAACTAGCTGATGTGAGCCACTGTTTCACCATATGGAGACTTTAATGAAAGCAAGCAAATCAGTTGTCATGTCTAAATTTTGTTATCTCAGTGTAAGTTTGCGTGCACACTAAGGCTCTGTGCTTGTGAGCACGTGAGGATGTGTGTTTGTACCCCTGCATGGAGGTGAGGGTGCCTGCAAGACAGTGACTCTCTGCCCAAAAGCATTGTCTGTGGTTGCAACACAAAATTAATGCATTGGAGTTTCTTTAAAGGAGAAAAAGAAAAGCTATGAATTGACCAAAGAGACAGAATTTGCTTTTGAAGAAATGTCACGGCTGTTTACAGGGTGTGTGTTTGCATTTCCTTTCTTTCCTAAGTGGAGAAATCTGGAGGAACTCTTAAAATTAGGTCTGTGCTTAATATTTAGACCTAACTTCTTTCATGATTTTTTTCTTTAATTGGACTGAGTTGATAGAGAAGTCAGAAGACAGCATGCACAAGGAATGTAGCATGTAGAGAGAGCACCATGGCATGTAGCATGCTGCATTTCCTGTAATGCCCTCAGCTGCAATCAGGAGGTATTTTTGTATTTTACCCACCATTCTCTGTGCATGTGTATTCAGTCACCAAAATGAAACTTTGAGGCATTTAAGCGCTCTGCCTGTGTGAATACCGAGCATTTCCACAAGGCATCTCACTCTCCTCCACAGCTCCAGAGGTGCTGAACAACCAGAGATACACACTCAGCCCTGACTACTGGGGGTTAGGCTGTCTCATCTATGAAATGATTGCTGGGCAATCGCCATTCCGTGGGAGGAAGGAGAAGGTGAAGAGGGAAGAAGTGGACAGAAGAGTGCTGGAGACAGAGGAGGTGTACTCCCATAAGTTCTCGGAGGAGGCCAAGTCCATCTGTAAAATGGTAAGGGGCTAGGAGGCTCAGTGGGGCAGCTTCATTAACAAGCTGTGTCTGACACAGGGTTCCATGGAGGGGCTGCAGAAACAAAGACTAACCAAGCTCATCTGTGGATGGGATGACTGCACTCTCTATTCACTCAAACTCTGTTTATTTGGGCTTCTTTCTCCGTGAGATTCATCATGGTCATCTTGAGCCCTCTCCAAAGTTTTATGGCCGAGGGAGCGGTATCTATTCTCATGAGACTTTGAGTGCTAGTTTGCAGTCAAGAATGCATTTCTGTCTTTTATAACCTTGTAGAAAAAAAGAAAAAGGACTCAGTGATGCAAGAGTCTGTTTGTCTCCTGCAAGGAACTGCAAACCCCACGCTTCCATTGTCTTTGGTGAGAGCTGGGGGTAAGCAGGACAAAGATTATGCAATGAAATTATTGTGACACTCAAATGTTGTCCCAGCCCATCTCACTAACTTTGTTAGCAGCTTTTCCCCTAGGGTGGCAGGGTATCCAGCTTTTCTTAATACTGTTGAGCTGTTCTTCAAAATGTTTTCTCACTCCTTCAGCTGGGAGTCATTTTCGTAGCACAATAGCCATGTCTGACAATGGAAATCCTCAATCCCTCTGAGAAATCTCAAAGCTGCGTCTGAACTCATCAATGTCTTGTTGACATCCATCTTTAGAAGGCTGATTTGTAATTTGGGAAAGGATGTGGCCTTTTTCTGGGTGTTGTTTGCTAATGAGTGAAGTCTCCTTTGGAGACAATGACCTATCTGTGTTTGCTGGTAGAGGGAGAACAAAGGGGAGGAAAGGTCAACAAATAGGTAGGGAAGGTTTCACCAATGTCTTGTGCAACAGGCAAGCAAAGAGCAGATCCACAGCACTCTGGCTGGCTGGCTGCATGAAGAGACACTGAAGTCTCCTTGCAAAATAATAATGGCAGCACTGCCAAGAGTCATGCCTGGAAGTCATTAACTCACAGTGCACCGAGTCATTCCTGAATCCTCGGGGTGGTATTTAACTGGCATCACTCTTGGTGGATGCTCTGGGACACTCACTGCCCTTAACTGGTGATGCAGAGCCCCAGTGAAGCTGACATGGGAGGACTGGGGCAGCCAAGGGCTCTCACAGACCACCCCATGGGCCCAGCAGGCTCCCTTCTGTCCTCAGGCAGCATCTCAGCTCTCACCAGGTGAGAAGCAGCATCTGCTGGAGTGGCAGGGAATTTGTGCATGTCCTGCTGTTAATCTGAAATGGAGATGTGAGGCAGAAATTGTACCTTGCTGCTAGCAACACAGAATCAGAACAGTTTGGGTTGAAAGGGACCTTTAAAGGTCACAGTCCAACTCCCCTTTCCTGGCTGACATACCTGTAGAAGCCCTTCCTGTTACTCTTTATTTCCCTTGCATAAAAGAATGAAGATATACTTGAAAAATAACCATGAGAACTTAAAGCTGAGAAGAATTAAATGTAGCATTGATGGGACAGTGCTGTAGAAGACCTACCACAGTCCCAGGACAGCAGACACTCATTAAACTGTAGTGGTCATTTTCATCTCCCAGCCATGGAGACTCTGGTTTCAGGGAGTCGGGACCTCAGGAGATCATTTAGTTCTTTCTCTTGCCTCAGGGAATTTTGGACTATATATAATTTATTCCTGAAAACTTGATCACTGCTGCTTTCCTGTCCAATAATGTGGCATGATTATTGAGGTGGTTTGTGCAAACTATTTATGGATCCAAAGATAACCTTTCCCTTTATGAGCATTGGTATCTTGAGGCAGGAAGAGTCTGAGTGTGATGGCGTTTGTGGTTTCCCATCCAAAAGTAATATTTTTATCAAGTGATGTTTTTTTTATTTTTAAATCCATTATTCAAACATATTTTCTCAATTTCTATTTGTTTTTTATATTGAAAGCCAGAACTTTGTTGCTTTGCATGAGCATCTTAACAAGGAAACAAAAGAGTCATAAAGTACCCATCATATCTGCAAAATGAAGCAAGAAGTTGCAATACATAAATTAAACTTGAGCCTTCTCAAAGATCCAACACAAAAGGCTTTCCCATAGTGGACTCTTCAGGGCAGGAGTGAGGAAATGTTTCCCACCATGTTGCCCAGCCTTTTCTTCAGAGCTTATTTCATGAGCTAATCACCACCAGGAAATACATTGTCTTTATTCATTTACTCATAGGAAAACCCTCTGGTGTCACCCCTCGTCAACCTTCCCCTCCTGGATGCTTGTGTCCTTTCGCATTTTTGCAGGCATATATCATAGCTCCTATTAATCATCATCCATCCCATATTTCCATGTTTCATTTTGTAAGCAATTTCCCGTAAATCAGACCTCATTTTGGAATGAAACAGAGATGAATAACAAATAATTAGGAACAGGGGCAGCTGGCTTTCTGGGAAGCTCCCCAACCCATAGTTCCCATATAACATAGCTGCTCCTGGTATGTTTTTCTGTGAAAAAAAATCCAGTCTTTCTAGGAAATGCTCCATGTTTGTTGTGGTTATGCCTCGTACTCCACTGATGTACATGTGTGTTTTCCCTGACAAGTGCAGTCATGCATCCAGAGATGTGACTTGAAGTGCATTCAAGTCAGCAGTGTTGGATGGGCCCTCATTGCTGGGCTCTTCTGTCACTCTGTCAGTGCCCTGCTTGTCTGCATTTCCCACAAACTTGTCTTCCCTGGTGCCTTTTATCCCTGCAGCTCCCATTTTACCCTACACGAGGGGTCTCTGATGGGATGGTGTAAAGAAAGAGCCAAACTCCTGGTTTGGTGTTCCTTAACAGGACAGGAAGCAAGAGAAACAAACTGAGGCACAGGAGCAGTTCAGTTCCCTCTGAACTTTAGGAAGCATTTTTCCATGGTGAGGGTAGCCAAACAGTGGAACAGGTTGCCCAGAGAGGTTATGTGTGTAGTCTCCACATTTCATTTGGAGATAGCCAAAGCCCAACTGGACAAGGTTTGGAACAACCTGCTCTAGGAAGCCCTGCTTTGAGTAGAGAGATTGGACTAGACCATGTCCAGATGTGGCTTCCAGCCTCAGCTGTTCCATGTTTCTGATCTCCATTCCCTCTGCAAAGTGCCCCCCCCCCCCCCCCAACCAACTAAAAGATAATGAGTTCTGTTTTCCTTAAAAGCAATTTTTTCCTGTTTCTTACTTACCATCAGGAGCTCTGTCATCATGCAGCTGCTCCAGCCTGCTGCCATCCCTCCTTTCTGCTTTCATCCCATGGAAATCAGCATTATGACACCTTAAACTTTATCAGTGCTATATCTGCTCTTATATAGTAATTGACCATAGTATTGCTTTTCTGTTCTTTAAAAATTGATTAAAATAATATGTTTACTTCAGTGTCAGGGTTGAACTTTAGCGAGGTGATTCCTTAAACTGCTTGATAACTGGGTCAGTGGACATGGTTTTAACATTCCCCTTGTCTGCTTTCATGAGTGGCGATTTTTTGGTTTCCTTACTCCTATAATTTTAGGACTAACATCTTAGAACTCAGAATTATTTATTACGTGGTATGATCTGGAGATGAACTTACTGATCACATGAAGATAAAACAGCACCTTGGGGACTTTTGGCTTTTTTTTAGCATCCTCACAACAGTCGTTTCTTTTTGTAAAGGAAGCAAAACAAAGTAATGGAAAAAAGTCTCAGACATTGCAGAGTTTGAATACCCAGTGGGCATCAAATGAGTGAGATTAAAGTATCAGAGAGCTCTTTATATCAAGATCTTGAGGGAACTTTACTGCTCTTACTCAAGACTCTCTTTGAAAGTCCTGTTCTAGTTGTGCTCTGCCCATGAACTCTGTAGACCAAACCCTAAATATCCAGTGTCAGCTGGAGCCTTTTTTACCAGAACACACAGCTCTGCACTTGGCATTAACTTCATGCATGATTGGGTGGCCCAGGCCATCTCCATATTTGAAGCTGTGAATTATGTGCAGGCTCTATTGTAGAATTATATTTAAATTACCTTCAATGGGGTTCCTTGCACTGCTGTCCCAGGAGGGCTTGTCATCATCCTGATGGAGTTGCTTTTGTTCTGCTCTCTATTCATATTAAATAAACCATTTGAAGCTGAATTAAACAAAAATGTAGAGATGACTTATAAAATACTGTTGTTATCTCCATTCTCTTTTCCATGTCAGATTCCCAAATGGGATATATATTTCAGGCTCTTGCATGGATTTACTATTGCAGAGAGCTTCTGGGTCTGCAGGAAATGGTGAAAGACTAATTATTCCTTGGTGAAAGGAAGGATTCTCCCTTCTGGAAAATATTCTAGTCCATGCTATGTCTTGATATCCACAACAGAAGCCAGGAAGAATGTTGGGTTTCACCTGTTGCCCTCTCTATAGCTGGCTGCATCTACAGCTTTTCAAATTCCATTTATTTCTAGCATTTTTCTCCATTGTGACTCTCCTGGGACTCTCAAGAGACTGCAGCTGCTCCCCTGCAGCAGGGCTTTGCAGGAGAATCCTCTCCTTTCTCTGTTCTTTCAGTCCCAGCCTATTCCCAAGTGGCCTGTTCCCTTTTGTGTCTTTCAGCCAGCAGTGGCCAACCACCCACAACCAACTGCATTCATGCTCCAGAAACTTCCTTCTTGCATCTGAAGTTACTGAATACTCCCTTGTTTGTCATGGAGGAACCCAGGAATCCCCAGGCAGCCTTTTTCTGTCCTCAGCTACCCTTTTCTCTGACCGCACACTCCAAACATCTTACAGCCTGACAAGGGCAAATTCACAGATCAGCTTGGTTTCCCCACTAAGTCCAGATTCCAGACTGCAGAAATGGGAAATAACCCCCTTGTCATCCCTTCAGAGCTGACTTGAGAGCAGAGGCTGTAGAGGTCCACTGTATCATCTCCAAGAAAGTCCAAATCTATCCCTTCCCACCACCACTTGTCCCTCAGCTGTTCCTCAAAGGTCCAAGGTATCATTTCCAAAAGGATACCAGAGCCATGGGTACTAAAAATAGTTTTTCTGCTTTCAGATTCTACTTTCCAACCATCAGGAAAATCCTATTGACATGAGAATAAAAGAATAAAATAACTTTTGATTTCTTTGCCCAACCAGAATAGAGCAAGCCTGATTCTGACTGGAAATTCCAAAGTGATCATCTTCAAATAGGCTAGAGCATAGGATTAAAAAAAAAAAAAAAAAAAAAAAAAAAAAAAAACACCTCACAGCAACAATCCTAGTCTCACCATGAGAACTCAAAGTCTAATGAAGTTATTTGAAAGTAAAGCATCCTTCTTTCCCTCCAGCAAGGAAATCAAAGTCCAGAGAAGTGCTCTGAGACAGATATTTTGCAGTGAGCCAGATGGATGTGGTACAGTACCACGTGAATCTCTCTGCTCAGAGAATGGCAAGGCATACAGATATTTCCTCAAGTCTTTTTACATTTTGGTGATCTGTCAGCCTAGATGTAACCACCTTGGCAGCATCAGAGGCAGAGGAAAGTGTGGGAAGGAAAGGGCTGTTGCTATTTAGAAGCTGAACTTTGCTCCTGTGGCCAGCACCGGTGGCTTTAAACCTGTTCCTCCAACCATTCAGTCCCTGCTATTGCTGCTGCTGCTGCTGCTGCTGCTGGGGCAGAAAGACCTGAGCAGGAAACTCTTATGTCTACAAACCCCTTCACCACCATTTCTGGCTTGGTTGCTGCTGCTGGAGCTGGAGGGTGGCCCCTGTACCCGTGGGGGACACGGATTGCCAAAGCCATTTGTCACCTCAGGCTGGAAATGAGGCCCCAGCAACACAGAAACAGAACTGAGGTGGCGGTTGGAAGTCAGATAAGAAAACCAATGCCCAGATGGTAGAAATGCCCAGTGGTAGCAGAGTGTTCAGAGAAGCCTGAAGAGCTGTGACACTGTAAACCCCTGACAAGGACAAGAAACCCCAGCTCCAGCCAGGCACCAGGGGAAAGAGCACGACGTGACATTAGCAACAAACAATTTCCAAGTTCCCCGCTGGTGAGATGAGGTGGCTGTGCTGGGCTGATGCCTCGCTGGCTGAGGCAGAAGGTGCTGGGGCACACAAACCCAGAGCTGGGCACACAAACCCTGAGCTGGGCACACAAACCCTGAGCTGGGCACACAAACCCAGAGCTGGGCACACAAGCCCTGAGCTGGGCACACAAGCCCTGAGCTGGGCACACAAACCTTGAGGTGGGCACACAAACCCAGAGCTGGGCACACAAACCCTGAGCTGGGCACACAAACCCTGAGGTGGGCACACAAACCCTGAGCTGGGCACACAAACCCTGAGCTGGGCATGCAAAACCAGAGCTGGGCACACAAACCCTGAGCTGGGCACACAAACCCTGAGCTGGGCACACAAACCCAGAGCCGGGCACACAGTCTCCAGGCAGCCCTGCCCCAGGGAAACCTGCCTGCCTCCCGGTCCTGCTCCTCCTCCAGGGATGCTCCCGAGCACACGGGACTCCTCCCCAGCCTGCCCAAAGCTGTTTGCATCCTGTCAGCGCAGCCGGGACGGTGCCGGGGACTCTCCCGGGGATGCTCCCGGTGCCTGCCCGTGCTCAGAGCGCCCAACCCAGCCGCTGCCGAGCCCCGGTGGGCTTTGCTGATGCTTTCGGTGCCATTCCCATGTACAGCCCACCCGGGCAGGGCCGAGCGCTGCTCTGGGCCGGCAGAGCCGGGGCAGCGGAGCCCCGGGAGCATCCCCCGGCCCGGCCCCGCCGCGCTGCCCGCTCCTCTGCTGCCTCCCGGCGGCTCCGCCCGGGCGGCTCAGCATCACCGATGGAGCCGCAGGAAGGTTCCCTAACACCCAGTCTAACACCTCCCACAGGCTGCTCCAAGCCCTATTCAGCCTGGAGCTGGGCAGCCAGGGATCCAGGAGCAGCCACAGCTTCTCTGGGCAGTCTGTGCTAAGGCCTCATCACTCTCAGAGAATAATTTCTTCCTAAAGAAATGAGGGAAATGTTTAGAAGAATCTAAACCTGCCTAATCTAAACCTTCAGTTTAAAACCATTCCCCCTTGTCTATTTGTGACATGACCGAAGATGCTGAGCTCAGTCGGTGGGCATTGCTCCAGGCAGGACTTGCTGTAGCAGGTAGAGGTTGTGCACTGCCCTTCTCTGAAAACAAACAAGGCAGAACTGAGGATTATTACTGGGCATTGGCTCTGTGGATAGAACTCCCCTTGAGTTCAGCAGGGATAAGCCCATGATGTAAAGGGTTGGTCCAATGTGCCCTGTGATGCACTGTACGTATGAATGTAGTGCAATGGGTGAGGGAAATACTGTTTGGTACTTCTGGTTTTTCCTAAGCACCTGTTCTACTGAGGGAAAATTATTCTTACAAGTGTAAAAAACAAAAAAAGAACTGAGACAAAGCACATGGAACTCATGAATGTAACATCCTTATATGTAAGTAACATGTAAGAAAGTGACACCTTTATATGTTACTAGGGTATGACAGATCTCTTGAAAGTGTTCACTGAAAGCAGGCAAAATAAATGGTCTCTATTCTAACTGTAAATACTTCACAGCAGGGGATTTTTTGAGAATTTCACTGGCATGTAGAACAGTGCAGTCCTAATCCATTTAACTTCAGCTTTTAAGTAACAGCAGTTGCAACTCCCCTCTGTACTTCCCTGTGGGCACATTCAAAAGCAAGTGGAGATAAAAATATCTTTGTGGAGCTCTTGCTTTTCTGCCACCCTCACCATTCCCACTGGCACATTTCAGCTCCTCACCAAAGACGTGAAACAGCGGCTGGGATGTCAAGGGGAAGGTGCAGCAGAAGTGAAGAGACATCCCTTTTTCAAGAGCATGAATTTCAAGCGGTTAGAAGCAGGAATGCTGGATCCTCCCTTTGTGCCTGATGTAAGTACCATAGCGAGAACCCCCAGTGGCCTCTTTTAAGAGGTTTGTTTCTAAAATAGCTGCTCTCTCTCAGGGCTGCCATCGCTCTCTGCATGGCTAGCTACCCCAGGAAGGTGTGATAAGTGGTGGGGCTGGAGTGGGGAGGCTGGGAGGAAGAGGAGAGAGGGTTCTGTGGGCATGTGGATGCAGGCTGGTAATTTGGGGCTTGTTCCATTCCCACTCCTTTTACCACAGCGTTCCTGCACGACACTGGAGGCACTGGGGACTCACTGTGAAAATAAGTGTGCTCAGAACCAGGTGGTGCTTGGGGCAATCAGCAGTGAAAGCCAAATGTTTGCATGCAGGTTTATAGAGGTGAAACCAGAAATACAAAGTCCATGGCTCTGTGGAACTGGAGCATCATGAGAACAGTAGTTTGCAACAGAGAGTCTGAGTCAGGCTCAGCTATCAAGTATCACCTCAAGCAGAGAAGGTGACTTGCACCTGAGAGAGCATTTGGAGCTTTTTGGTGTTCATGGGGCACAGAACCCAACACTGGGTCCTTACTCAGCTTTACACACCAGGCTCACACATTCTGAAAGGTTTCATTGCATTGGCAACGACAAAACTTTTTCCACCCTTTTGTGGTATCGGTTTCTAGCCCAGTGTGCAGAGTTATCTGATTATTTCCCTCCTGCAGGGCTCTCTTTCTGGCTGGAGCTTCTATCCATAAAGTCCCCATATGGTTCTGAGTAAACACTGCCATTTTAACATATTAAAGAAAGTAACATCTTGGCAGCTCCCATTCCCGTTGCTGCAGGCTCAACCAAACCAAAGTGGTTTGAGCGCTACAAAAGTTTACTTTAGTTGCTCTGGTTTTGCTTTACATTTTACTATGCAGCCTAGTTATTCCTGCCAATTAGCCTGTGGTGTTACGACCTGCTTTAGTGGGAAGAAATAAGAGACAAGCTACTATTTCTTTCTGATGTAGAAAATTATAAAATTCTGGGCTCAAATTTGGGATCCACCAGACTGCATAAAAACTGTGGCACATAAGGCCTAGAAGGCATCTCTTAGAGACATACTTGCAAAAGCAAAGGCACATAAATTTTTATGGCTATTTATGGAGAGCTCAAGAGTTGCCCCTAATTTAATTTATTTGGCACTTCATCCATAGATCTCCCAGTCTTTACTGAAGTCATCTGAATCACCCAAAGCTATATAGCCAATGGCAGAATGTCTCTCCATCCTCTTCTACGTTACTCCATCTCCACAAAAATGTTGTGGATTGCAGCTGTCAGGAATGCAGAGGGATACAGCCTTCAGCAAACAGGACTTCTGTCAGGAATTAGGTCAATTGGTTTGGTCACAGTGCCCAGATCCAGATAAATGAAGTGCTGCACTGTTGGACCCCTGGCTGGGCAGTCCTGGTAGCACGGACACACAGCAGGATTCCACACGGGCTGGGGTTCAGCAGGTCAGGCTGGTCCCACAGGCCACCCAAAATTATCCCTGCACACCAAAGGGTGGCTGTGCTGGTGATGGGAGATCTCTGGGCACACACACAGCCTGTGATAGGCAGCCACTGGTGACTCTTTCTGCTCCCTGGGGCTGCTGCTGGAGTGCGAGCTGAAAGTTCCGTTGCTGCAAAGGGTTTTGTCTCTGTCATCCCAGAAAACTGAATAGTTCAAAAAGGCAAAGCTATTTGTTCCTTTGAAGAAATACAGCCAAGTTAAAAGAGTTAATAGAGGTAATTCTGGGCAGCTTCCAGTGGCTGAGCTATTAATAAAAACAATGGAAAAATGCCAAACCTACTCCGTTTTCTTTAGCAATTAGGATACATTCCTTTAAACTTCCAAGCTGCAAACTCCACAGCTATCTGGGCAGGAGGGCACTTCTATCTGAGGCATCTTTTCAGAGCTCTCTCCAGTGTGCCACTCGTAAACATTCCGGTTTTCTGTTCTTCCCTCTCTAAATTAAAAGACTACTGAAGAATTCCATTTTTCTTTTCTGCCTCTTTCTGTCCTTTTCCTCTCACCTCTAAACCAGATGGCACATGGATGACTAAAACCCACTTTGACTGATGCTTTGAGGACTTCAGAATAGGAAGCTTAATGTGCTTAAAATGAAGTCAGCCTTTGATAATAAACATGCAGGCAGAGCAAGTCTGGAGAAGGAGGATGCAAACACACACTTGTTAGACATTCTCACTTGACTGAATCTGTGAATGAAAGCACATGGTCCGACTCAGAAATATTTTTCTTCTTGTAATTTCTCTTTTTTTTCTCTGCTGACATAGCCCAGAGCAGTGTACTGCAAGGATGTGTTAGACATTGAGCAGTTCTCCACAGTGAAAGGAGTTAACCTGGACCAAACAGATGACGATTTCTATTCCAAGTTTTCCACAGGATCAGTGTCTATTCCATGGCAAAATGAGGTAAGGATATATCATAGCAAAGTTACTGCAATAAACCCCGTAACACAGACAATTTAAGAGGACCTCTATGTTCCAGTAATATATAGCTACTGGACAACTTGCCAGACTCTAATGCTTTCATGAGTTACAAATGGCCTCTTTCAAGATCTGTAATGTACCACAGATGTCAGGTTCAGGTGACTGTATCTGTTGGCTGTGTGTATTTGTGTAAATTGGCAAGGATCCTGCTGTATGTACTTCCTCCTCCTGGATTTCTACAGAGGTGTTTCGACAGCCCTCAGCTGTGGTTCAGCTGGAAATACCTAAGGGAAGGATCCTCCACTGGTGCCCCTGCTCTCACCCAGTGTCTGCAGTCAGTTAACTCTGGACCCTGAACTCCTCCAGCATTTCCATCTCTTGGTCTTTGTTTCTGTTTGGTATCAAACCACAACCAACAGTGGATTTCAGAATCCAGCTCTGCATCAAACAGCAGATCCACTTGGGCAGAAGGTGCTAATAACTGGGATTTTGTAAGTGTGCCAGTCTTTGCCTGATATTCTCTACAATGCTAAAGGAAAGAACAGAAAGTCTTGTGGGGCAGCTTCTGACAAGTCTGATGTGCAAACACGCAGAGCAGGCTCAGCCTCTGGCTTTCATACACTCTATTTGCCCTCTACAGACACCAGCAGGAATCCAGCTGTTAGCTCTCCTCACACACTGCTGACTTTGAAGAACCTAGCACTACTGGATTTTTTTTAGTACAGATGAATAATTCCCATTTTCTTTTTTCTCTCTCTCTCACTATGTTCCACTAGATGATAGAAACAGAGTGCTTCAAAGAGCTGAATGTATTTGGACCAAATGGTACTATTTCACCAGACCTAAACAAAAGCTACCCCCCAGAGCCACCCAAGAAAGGATTGCTGCAGAGAATATTTAAGCGACAGGTGAGATCTTTTATGAGTAAGACCAGGAAACTCCTGTAGATGCCTGTTTTCACAGCCCTGTTCTGGTGATATTTCTGCTAGGAGAAGGGCAGTGCATCTTAGAGAGGGCTGGCTCTCACATTTACCTCCATATCCCAGGTTTTTCATCTACCTTGTGTGATTTTTTTGCCACCAGCAGTTCCAGTGTTACTTGTGAGTTGTGTTTCCAGCAGTTGAAAACTTCTTACCCAGCCTGTTTTTCAGTGGTATGATGAAATGCCTTTTGAAACTGTCCTATGGATTTAAGAAGTTCCTTGTGAAAATCCTTTGTTTATGTGTTAAAAAAAAAAAGAAAAAAGGAAAAGGCATATTTTGAGGGAGGTAGTTGTGGCAAAAAAACAAGATAATAAAGAAGAGAGCAACCTGGATCAACCATGAGGTGCAGCTTTCATGAGGCACCACGGCACTACTTGCAAATATCAGTAACATTCTTAGACTGGCCTATTTCTGTAGGGTTAAAGCCATACCTGAGCATTGGATTGGCAGGTACCCTCTGTACAAGTCAGATTTAGCAGATGCTGACATTTTGCAGTGAATTGATTTGGCTCCTGGAGATCAAGTGAGCCTTCTTTGCTTCATTCCAAAAGAACTGCCATGGTTCTGCTGACTTAGGGAGACTACAGGTAGGAAAATGAAGAATATTTTGCATCTGAAGATCTTCGAGCAAGAGTCTTGCAGTCCAGCCAGTACCATAAAATGAACAATGTTGGATTAAAACTAAAACCATAGCATATTATGGAAATCTAATTGTCATTTTCTTCCTCTTCCTACAGCATCAGAACAATTCAAAGAGTTCTCCAAATTCAAAGGCCAATTTAAATCATCACATAAATTCAAATCACGTAAGTTCAAACTCCACTGGAAGCAGCTAGTTCCAGCTCAGTCCTATGAAACAACATGTTGCATCCTTCCACTATAATCTCTGGAGCTTCTGTGGATGAGAGAGCCTCCACCATTGAGTGAAAAAAAGAAAATCTGGATCTCCCAAAATGGAGATTTTTCTATCCATTCCTTCCAGTGGAGCCTCACATTTTAAGAAGAAATTTCCACTCAGGTCTGTTTTTGGAGGTGGCACTCAAGACTGTGTGAATCAAATTTGTCTCTTTAGAACATTGCAATAGAAATTCAATGAACATGACTACTTGCACGTATTTAAATAGCATCATACTAGAACTGAATTTTGTCTTTATTATTTTTAAAGAAAAGTTTTGTAAATTTCTCTATTGTCTCAGTTTACATTTTGTACATTTGTATTTAAATGAAAGTCAGACTTTGGAGGTGTATATTTTCCAAGCAGCAGCTGTAAAGCCATGTGTTTTAAGACATTTTTTTAAAAGAAACAAAATGTGACTCAAGACTTCCAGAGCCTCAAACGAGAAATCATTCTTTTTAGCAATTCTAGAAAATTCTTCACAAATCACTTTATCAGACGGGGGTTTATTGACATGCATTTTTATGGAACAGTTGATTCTTAATTATTTTACATCTGTATATTTGGTTTACAGCAACACTGCATACATTTCTCCTCTTCATTAGTTTGTAATGTCTCGCATTAAATGCTAAAAGACAAGATTTTGATACATTCAAAAATGCTACTTGCTATGCTGATGGTTTGTGATGTCTTGGGACCAGCACAGCTGAGATTTGCACTTATGTTGTTGTTCCATCAAAGGCTTTTTAGCTAGAAAGGGAGCCCTGTTTTAAGCTCTTTTCCTTCACGAGTGTTTGTGCTGTTTCTAGCAACAGGCAGAACAAAGCTGAGGGAGAGGTGACCAGGAAAGCAAATATCCATTTCTTTTTCTAGGACTTCAAAACTGCACCTGCTGAAATGAGAGCAAAACTCAAAGTGTTCTCCATGCTGCAGTCAAGAGCCCAGGGTCTTTCCACAGCTGCCCATAACAAAGAGGCAGCAGGAGGGAAGTTCAGCAGTCTGGTTTGTGCCAACCATGAGATTGGTGACAGCTTTGTAGAGCTGAGCCATGGAGGCTCAGAGATCTGAGCTGCTTTTGGGCAGTGGCAGAACCTACAGGCTGTGCCCACACTTAAAATACTTCCATGTGTCATGCAAGCACCCTCTGACACATCCCCTCAGTCAGATCCTCAACTGATAAAATGCCAGTATGAAATAATATTGGCATTAATAATAATATCACTTCCAGCTCCATCATTCTTTGTCCAGGATCCTTTAACCAACGACAAAAACTCTGTCCCCACTAGGATGAACAGGATCATTCAGGATCAGTAGCAGTGCCTCAGGCATCAGAATCAGGCTCTTCTCAAGTATTTCACTCTTATTGTTAAGAACACCAGACCAAAAAATATGGTTACTTCCCTTCCACAGGGATTGGAAAACCTTTGTGCCCACAAACTGCAGCCCAAAGTGTTCTGTAGAGTGTGGTGCTTCCCCATAGTCTTTACAATGTTGGCTAGACTATACTGATTTTTTTTAAACCTTTGGGTCATCAGGTGCATCTGAAAGCCACCTTGATGTGTCTAAAAAAAAATCCTGTTAACCAGTAGTGGAGCTACCCCAGGGTCCAAGGAAGTGACGTTCCAGTGGGAGTGTTAATAGCCAAAATTCATTAGACTGCCATGTGTGTGTTCTGTGAGGCCAGTGCTGAGGGGGGAAAAGGATGAAGGTTAGTAGTGGCAAATCCCTGAGTGAGAAACACACAGGAATGACATAGTAAAGCAGCTTGAAGTTGTGAGACAGAGAGACAGAACAGGGACTTGCACAGAGCAGCTGACAGAGAAAAGTCAAGACCGGGAGATGAGGCTTCAGCCATTCTCCCATGGCAGATGGTGGCATTGCAGATCTTACAGAAGATGCAGGATTTTAGAGATGTTGCTAATTTGACATGTGAAGACTAAAATTTTCATTCTTCACCATCTCCCAGTATGAGCAAATCCCTTACTGAAAGCTGGTGAACAAATTGCAAATGTTCATTATAGCTGGTCTTACATCTTTCAGATGCTGCCAGCCTTAACCTGTGGTGGATGGCATTTTAGGCAGAGCAGTGAATGACAGTGTTTGTGCCTTGTCCTGCTCTCCTTTCAGCCAGGACAGTCCTCACCCAGCAGCTCTAGGACTCTGGCAGTGGGGGCTTAGGGACAATGCAAAGTCCTGGAAGGGTGAGAGCATTCATTCTCCCTGCAGGATGTTATGCTAGGGCTGGATATCCTGAATTCTCATGGCATGGAAGAAGGATGCCTGTGGGCACCTGAAGGCATCAAGCCTGGGATGGAGCCCCTCTGAATCCCACCTCCATGGAGCAGTGAGAGAGGAAGGGGAGAGACACAAAACACCACCAGGAGAGAGATTTCATCCCTTGAGTGTCTCAGTCCTACAAACAGTATTACCACGCTGGGGCAGCAGAACTTTTCAGCACCCAGCCCTGGAAGGCTTAAAATCTATGAAAAGTGCTAATGATCAATTCTAGGGATCTGCTTGACACAGTTTGCCTGCAACAACAAAACCTGCAGGATTTATTTTTTATCACCTCTTACTTTTGTTGGGATTCTTTTTTTAAAAATTTTTTCAGCTTAGCTTGCACTCAAAGCTGGAGTAGGAGCACAGTTCTTGCACTTCCATTGTGTGACCAGGTGCAATTTGGGCCCAGAACTCAGGGTTGAAGCCTTGTCAAGGCAGTGACCTGCATAGCCAGGCTTCCACAGGCATTTGGCCATTGGCTCCACGGAGTCAAATTTAAAAACCACTGGGAGCTATGGAAGAAAATTTACAGTTTCTTCAAACAGCCTTGAAGAGCATTTGCAATGAGATTTTTAGTATTTTGATTCCAGGTGAATTTTGAGGTGGATTTGCACGTAACAAAGGAGTAGAAAGGAGTAGTTCTGTAATAGCATTCCAGACTGATTAATTTTCTTTATCTCCTCTTCAGTTACCATCCAAATTCTTTCCAAAGAATGCATATGCTCATATCTGGCTGCTTGTTTTAAATAGATGAGCAAACTTAGCTCTTTTTAAGAATCAGAAATCGTTTCCAATCTGATCTTGAATTATGCAAGCATGACTTTTATTTTTAAATCTTTGTTGAGGAGTCTGATGAACACTAATTAGTTGACAGACTCTCATGAGTCAGGTGTTTGCTATTCATTTTCTACAGTGTCTCAAGGTTCACTTGAGTCTTGTAGCATTTTTCCCCACTGTTGGATATGAGGCTTTTTTAAACAAATGAATAATGAAGGAAAAAAAAATAACAAACTCTTAGATGTGCACTCTTGACCTGGATTATCTAAAAAGAGGTTTTTCACAAGAATGGCCATGACTCAGATGTTGTTTCTGAACAAAAACCTGCTTGTGAAGTGGGGAAAGGTGTGAAGATAATCAAACCAAGCAGGTAGTGCAGATCAAACTGTGTGTTAGGGAGCTGCAGAATTCAATATTGGAGTGTTCACCTGGCCCTGCTGATTAGGGACTCCTGGTTCCTGCCAGCTCAGGGACAAAACAGCTCTCCATAAACACAGCTTGGTACCACCTCAATTTGCAGTCACCCCAGAAACTATGGCTGAGTGCCATCAGCAGTAGGAATCAAACTTGCCTGACCCAGTAAAGCACCAGATTTGGAGACACCGATTCTTAAGGTCATTCACCCAAACTCAGGATCCAGCTTCAATTCTTTGCTGACAGTTCAGATCCAGTTGATCTTTTTCAGCGGCCATGCCTCAACTGGAAAAGCCAACAGGAAATGAACCCTCATAGTGGTAGAAGCACAGGCAGGGTGAGGAAGGCACAGGAGCTGTGAGCTCTGGAGGACAGTGTGTGAAGTCCCATGAGGTGTGACTCTCCAGCAAGGGCGCAGCTGGTACCACACTGCTGTTCTTCCCTGGGGTCATCATGTGCTGGTCAGAGTTTCTTCAGTGACCTGGGTCTAGCCCATGGCCAATGTTGTCCCTCTCAGGGTACAGAGGACAGCTGGATGAGGCAAGTAGGAATCCCTCAGCCAGGTCTGTGCATCCCAGCCTCAGCCAGCAGCTCCCTGCACAGGCTTTTCTGGAAGAGCAATAAATGCACAACCCCACAGCACAGCTGCTGCTCCTCACTGACATCCCTGGAACAGGAACTGGCTCCATTGTCACCAAGATGTTGGTGTTTTCACCCCTGCTCCACGATTAGTTGATCATTGTTCTGTTCAGTTAATATTTGTCATATTCACTGAAGTTACTCACTGCAGAGGAGAGCATTCATCAGGCATTTCCCATACAATCTTTGGAAAGACTGGATTTTTCTTTGGAAGAACATCCTTTCTGTCTCCCGGCATGTGGATCATCTTCCATCATGTGGAAGCCTGCAGGAGCTCTGGAAGTCCATAATTAAAGGCTCTTCTGCCCAAGGATGGTCTCAGGCTGCAGGGAGGTTCGTTTGGCAGTGAATTTTGGAAGAATCAGTCTGCTCAGTGGCTCCATGGAAATCAGGAGATTCTAGAGTTATTTATCTGCAGCCTTTCATAAATAAGACCTTTAACTTAAAATAATACTAAATATTTAGATTAAGGAGAATAATTACTAACACCCTCACGCTAAACTTAAAAGAAAGTCTGCATCAGTTTAAAACATATCTTCTTTGTGCTGGGCAGGACACACTTCCTTTTATGTCAAATAATATTGGAGTGCTGGCTGGTAATAATTGTCTTTCTTAAATGCAAAAACCAAAAAGATAAAGAAATTGGTTCAGAGAAATTTTAAATGGTTTCCTTTAGGGAAAATAAAAAATTTCATCAAAGAAGGTGAAAGCCAACAATATGCTACAGTATTATGGGCTGACCTCCCCCAAATGTCTCTGTGATAATACAAATACAATCTGCTGCAGTTGGATCAGCTAAGCTGGTGTAATGACAAATGGGCTTTATGAAAGAAGCAATTTTAAACAGATTGCTGCCTATTCATTAACATGAATATTACTGCTGGCACATATGTATTCTCCTTGCTTTATGTACTGGAGCCAGGAGAGATGGTTTGTATTCCTCTTCTGACTGTGTTTTTCTTCACTGCCCTGGGCAAACCTCTGTGCAATTTTGTTTTCCCATTCCCAAACATGGAGGGATGCTCTCTGTCTGTCAATGGAAAGCACTTTGGAGTCTGTGCATAAACCAGATCAGTATCAACTCTTCATATTATTATTTAAATGAAATAGGCTTAGTATAGCTGCTCTTTATTTACATGACTAATGAGACAACTCTCCTAAATTAGGACTCTTTTTATTATTGGTTTGTCTTAGCTCCTTAGAGATACTGAAACAGAACAAACTGCACTTCTGTAAGACATCTCCAGCAGACAAAAAGATGACAGTGCAAATGTTTTAAGCATTAATTTCTTTCCGAAGAGATGGCCAGTAATTGTGGCACTCACATGAACACACTTCCTCTGATTTTAGAATGGAGACAAATAGTTAAGAGGAAGGGAACAAAACAACATTCATTGGTTGAACTTTTTTGGCCAAGCCTTCAGAGGATTCCCGAGGCACCAATCGAGTGAGGTGCTGTGTGAAATCCCAAATGTGGATCTGTGGCAGACTGGGTCTGGAAGCAAAAGAGGAAACGTGTCTGGGGTCAGTGGGCTCCAGTGGGGAACTCCAGGA